TTTTTATTGTAATGCAATTGAAAATAGATGATAAGTTTTATTGATATAATAAGACACCACTTTTAACATCTGAAATTAATTTATTTCATGACAAAATTCTTAAAAGCTTGGAAGTTATTGACTGTTCCACTATTGGGACAGAATCAAAAAGTGCGTCCCAGCATTGGTACTTTTACCTTAAGTAAAAAGACCACTTGTATATAATAAATTTTTCTCACCATTAGGAAGCAAAGTCTGCCTATTGGGCACAATGTAAGTACGACTTTACACCCTACGAAAAGGAAAGCGATATACAAAAATTTCGCGATTGTGACGAGATTTTTTTACTTAAACTATTTTTCAAGATTTCATAATAATGTTTCAAATAAAACTAGAGATGAAAATTAAAAACATACCATTGCTACCAAGTATGACAAGACATACTGCCAAAACGATAGGAAGATTAGTCCACATCATTGTTTGTCACTTGGAGTGAGATCCATAAATGTCTTTTTTTATTTCTTCAATATTGTACACACATTATTTATATATTGTTAAAAGAATTAAAAAATTGTGATGTCATACCGGGCAGATGCCTGAACGTATCCCAGGATGTTGTTCCACTTTTCCGCAGATCAGAGTTGGATGCCCCTCCGGTAGACAATCGTGCCAGTTCATAATTTTTACTGATGCTCTTCTTAACTGTCCTGTTGAGTAACCAGTATGATCCATTATACCAGTTTTCTCAGCGTAGTCCCAACCAAAACCAGATACAGTTGCAATGATACCCATAAAGTCTTGGTCTGCACGTGGCAGCCTAGCCAATTTAATAGGCGAATTCTCACCAACATAAAATCCATTTTCAAGCTGAAAAAAAGAACGACCGAGTTGATTATAGTATTTTAAAAAATAATGTATAATTTATCCAGTTCATTAATTTTTTACTTACCCTTAAAAGGGCAATGTCATTAACAAACCTCTCGTTAGAGTTTTCATTCGATACATATTCTTTGTGAATATAGATTTTTTTTACAATGGTATTGTAAGTGTAATCTTTTACATGTGTCGTCCCTGCGACAACATTTATGGTACGCGTTGCTGTGTAACTATTTGTTTTCTGTGGACGTCATTTGTTCCCGCGACAACAAAAAATGGATCATCAGAGTAAACCTTTTTTTTCTTATCGTAAAAACAATGTGCTGCAGTCAAAACTACATCTGGTGCGATAAGTGTGCCACCGCAGAAGTGCACGTTGTTTGAGGTTTGTAGGGAAACTTGATATTTGATTTCTCCTTTCCTCGATAATGGATTACCTTGAAGGTTTTCTCTTTCCAAACCAGCAACTGAAATCAAGTAATCAAATCGATAATAGTCTTTTATTACTTTATTAACAATTTTTTTTTTTTTTAAAGATGAATTAAAAAATAGTTTCTTAAAGATGCAAATTTAAAAAGGAAAAGGGATATTTTTATTTTTTCGAAACAGTAAGTTTGCAATACTACTCATTTTATAGAGGGAAACACTAGCTTCCCTGTATATAGTGATTTTTACTATATTTTTCTCCTGAAAACAGTAATTTTACTTTTACTTGTTTTTAAAGTAATGAGATGACATTTTTATTTTACTCTTTCAAAATTATGCGTATTTACTACTTAAAAATTATGCATTTTGTGCGATTAATAAAAAATCATTTTAGTTCATTTTTTCCAAAGAGTTCAATTAAAACTACTCTTTTACATTTTTAAAGTGTAAACGATTAACCGTATAGTGATACAGAAAATATAAAAGTAGGTATTTACAAAATTTTGACGGTTAAAAACAGATAAGAGTAAAGGCAAACAAAAAAAAAACTTGTAACCGATTTTTATAAGAGTTGATTATTCAAAAAGGTATTTATTTACTGCCGACATTATATATTATCTTACACGGTGAGTGGGACTTTACTAGCAGTCTACGCATGGGTGTGAGGCAAAAAATAGTAGTAAATAGTTACAAATACGATAGATATATGAGTAAAAGATGCAAACGAGCACCAAATAACGAAAAAATTTTGTGAGTGTTAGCAAGATTGAAAAAAAGAGCCAGTGTGTCATTTGTACAATCCCACGGGATACCGTGGATTAAATACACTTATTATACACATACAAATATAAATGAATGAAGTAAATATGCATGGCTACTGCATGGTGATCTCGGGACTGGGTTTACTATTTTTTGGAGCCATAACGTTGATAAGAGCGTACTATGCGTCCCAGGGTACCGAATCTCCGGTCTGAGCGACTCACCTGCATGGCCGTCCACGTCGTCGAAGCGAAAAAGAACGAAGGAAAAAAAAAAGACATTTAAAATAGAAGAAAAAAAAATAACTTTACGATTGTGCGTCACTTTTGATATGAAGCTGTATTTATTTGCAAATTAATACAATTATTATGAACAACGTATCCCCAAGTTTAAATGCTTTTTGTACGCCATTTCATCGTATTCTTGCAGATTATTTTGCTTATAAGTTAATCATCTCCAATTGAGTATTTAATCTTTTACACGTTTTAAAAAAATAATCTTTGAATTTTTTAATTTTACAAATGTTTCGTTAAACTAGCGAGTTAAAACGTACATTACCACGACTTTATTGCGTTTTGCCTATACTTTAGTGCAAAATGCAGGTGTATGACAAAGAAACTGTATGCTCGCACATCTCGGAAGAAAATAAAGAATCCCTCAGATCGCATGACTTCCTTCCTCGTTTACGAATCTGTCACTAATTAACACGCGGTCTGTGNTTTTTTTTTTTTTTTTTTGCGATCTAAAACGGTATCTGATTAGTATTTCCATAATCTAATGTAACTTAAAATTAATTTTAACAAACTTATTTTATCCTATTGAGTAGACGAAAGTTCACTGTTTTGTGTTATTCTGAAGATAAACGGAACATATTTTAACCGTAATAGTAATAGAAACAAAGAAATTTTCCGTTTCTTCCAATTGAAAGAGCTGGAACGTGCCTTAAATTGTCTCTTATATTTTAACTTCTTACAATAGCAATAATTTTATGCAGGCTTTCGACTTAAAAACTTATTTATTTGTTACAAGTATACAAATTAATTAACTAACTGGCAAAAAAAGTTTCATTAAATGTAATGTAAATGTTTGAATAATAGTAAAAGCAATTTCACTCATATTTTTAATAAAGAAAAAAATAATACTTTGTACTTCAGCCCAAATGTATTATGCAAAAACAAACATATGAACGAAATACTTAAATTTTCATAGTAATTGAATAATTTATTTAAACTTATAAAAAAGTTACAAACATGTATTTTAACCACCAACTAACCATAAAAAAGAACGAGTTTAATTGCATGCAAAGAATGAGTTTAGTGCTGCCAGTGTGATACGAGGATACTTAGCTACTGGAAAGAAAGGCAATCTTTAGTTATCATTAAAAAAAAAAAAAAAAAAAGAACGATGAACAAATACATTTGTATGAATTTATTATTATTGGTCAACCTACAATATTGCTTACATCCTGTAACTTTAATAAATTTACATACTCAAAAATATTGAAAAATTTTCATATTATGTGGTAAACAGAAAAAAAAAATTCGTTACTAAACTTTCATTAACATTTGTATTTTCAGATATTTTAACTTTTACGAACATATAACGTACTAACTTTCATAATGTCATTTACACCTAATAATCGCAAATGTGGGTGCAAGAAGGTATTGCATATGAACAATTTTCATACTTCAATAATGAATTAATAAATTATATGTGACTTTCGAAAAATTAGTCTGTTCAACACTACAAGAAAGTATTAAAGTGCGTTAAATAAAAAAAAATTACATCTCGAATTTTTTTTAAGTACATTATATTTTAGTTTTAAAAAGGTTGTTATACAGTTTGATTGATTACATGTAATATTATATAACATAAAAACATACAGAAAATTTTGAGTAATATAAAAATAGCCTAGGTAGAAAGATGGAATTTACCAGTTTATAGTCTTACAAGACTTTACCCTATGAAAACAAAATTATTTAATACGTTCTTTTTAAAAGATGAAATTTATCTTTCATACTATAAAAAAGTGTGAAAGTTTTATACTGTAAAATAGTAAAAGTTTATTCTCTTTGTAAAAGTAATAAGTACATTATTTCTTCTATAAAAATTATAGAATACCACATACAAATACTACATTCTTTGGACCCTATAAATTTAATCTTTTCACCTTCAAAATTAAGTCTTGTGTTTTTGAAGGTATCTCAAGGTCTATCATATATTATTTCTCGCTTATTTACCAGTGCAGCATACGTATCTAATTCACTATTTATTAAATTGATCACTTGGTACAATATATTTAAATTGGTTTCATAATCTTTTTGTGCTGTTTGCTGATCTGCTTCGCTCCGATGGTTTTCCACCGTTTCTGTATACAATTGTAGCAGAAAATCATTTTTCTCTTTATAAGTTTCTACTTGTTGATTCAAGCGTTGAATTTCTTTAACTACTGAAATTGCTTCAGGTGATTTTGTAAAAATTATCTTGTTTTCAATTGGATTATAAAGTGTAGTGTAATTGTTGCTTCGAATTATCATGTCACTTCTTTTTCTGTAGTTCAAAACACTATTAATGAAATCTAAATACTCCGATACTTTGGTATACGTTGAATAATATTCTGATTCATCGCATCCCCATGTTCCATGACTCACGATTCCAATAACTTTGTTATCGAAGGAAACAGGACCACCACTGTCGCCCTGCAAAAATAAACAAACTGTAAATATTTGATCGTAAAAACGTTATTAGGTGGCTATGCCAGGATAGAAATACCATATTTTTGAGTTTTTATGTTCTTACATGTCATGTATTATATATAGTGAACAAAAAGCATTTTTGTTATAGTTTTTTTTTTTTTTTTTTTTTTTTTTTTTTTTTAATACGGTTATTACAAAAATAAAAATAAAAATTTAAACAAGAAGATAAAGGTACATTCCGCTAACGCACAAGATATGAAGCCTTTTTTTCACAAAAGGCGCAGTAAACGCCTAAGAAAAAAAAAACGCCCAATGAATAATTTTTTTTCATGAAAGTAGGTACTATTACACAAAGTTTTTAAAATTTCGTCACTTGTTATGTCAGCTCAATGAATACAAGGTCTTTTAATTCTTTCCACCTTACAAGCACTGTTTATTTTTTGTTAAAAAAATTTTTTTAAACTTTTGATGTCATACCGGGCAGACGCCTGAATGCATCCAAGGACGTTGTTCCACTCGACCACAGAGCATAAGTGATGTCTTAACGGTGGTACAATATCTTCCATCAAAAATTTTCACAAATGCTTGTCTCAGTTTTCCTTTTGAGGTACCGGTATGATTCTGTTCACCAGTTCGCACGGCGTAATCCCAACCAAAACCAGATACGTTTGCAGTTTTGCCCACGAAGTCTTCATGTTTATGTGGCAGCTTTGCCAAATCAATTGGAAAATTTTTACCAACATTGAATACTTTATCAACCTTAGAATAAACAAAAAAGTCAATTGCAGTTTGTTTTCTTCTAAAGTGCTACAATTGATTTAATGTATCAATTTTGTACTTACCCTTACAAGGGCGATATCGTACAATTGATAAGTGTAATCGTCATAGGCACTTGTGTATCCTTTATGAATATACATTGTTTTTACACGTCTCCTGTAGGTATGATCGTGGACGTCATTTGTTCCCGCGACAACAAAAAATGGATCATCAGAGTAAACCTTTTTTTTCTTATCGTAAAAACAATGTGCTGCAGTCAAAACTACATCTGCTGTAATAAGTGTACCACCACAGAAGTGTTGCCTTACATTTTGAAGGGAAACTTGATATTTGATTTCGCCTTTGTCCGAATCGTGACCACCTTGAAGGTTTTCCGTTTCCAAACCGCCAACTGGAATAAAAATAACCAGAATGTTAAAGGTAATTTTCCTACTTATTTTTTTTCTTCTGTTTTTTTCAATATTTGAACTTTTACTGCGTCCTTGTTGTGATAAATCGCATTCGCCTCTGTCACGTAAGCGTATATGGCCAGGGCAGTCGCAAAGATCTCAGTGATCGCAAAGAAAGTGAAAACATTTATTCGTGTGTGTGCGGATGTTCGTTTTATAATTTAAAATTAATATGTATGTAAGCCTAAGTACAGTAAACTCATTGGTAATATTAAGTTGAAAATCGTGATTTTGGTAGCTCAATGTATACGAACTTCTGTGGGAATTTCGTGGGACGAAAAAATAATTCTACCCAAAGAAAGTAAAAAAAATCAAATATTTCACATGCACCTTCAGTTTTATTTGACGTAAGTTAAAATTACCATAGTCGATTAATAATAGAAAAATTTAGTTATAACTTATTTTCAAACTTCATCTGAAACTTTCAGACCAAGCACTGATACACATGTAAGAAAATAAATGGTATGTATAAAAAAGGAAGGTACAAAAAAATAAATAGATTAAAAATTTCATTTTAATTTATATGTAATAACTTTTTTAATGCTAATGATAAAAAAAAATNTTATAGTTTTTAGTTTTTGGGTGAGTTTCGTGGACAAATACTAAGGGGCTGCGCACTCAGAAGTCCATTCGAGGCGTGAAGGACTTATAACGACTTAAGTATGTAGTCTTATTTAATGACTTCAAATGTGCGCAGCCCCTCGGGCCAATATAGTAGTTATATAATCGTATACCTGGTGGCGCATGTCGACAAGACAAGCACAAGGCCCGAGAAGCCTAAACAGGAGAGCCCGGACTTTTTGCGCTTACCATGGTTTGATGAGCACCAAGTGTAAACTCTATTTTTCTTACTGGGGTGCAGTAAACTTTTAAAGGTTAGAAGAACAAATAAAAAAAAAAAAGTAGGAAACAGTAGTATTTGATGCACATGTCTTGGAGGATATTTTGTGTTTTGAATCGTACGTATAATGAAACAGCTATTTTTAAAAACTTTCTTTTTGCCATGCAATTGAAAATGGACGAAAACTTTTATGGATATAATAAGACACCACTTTTAACATCTGAAATTAATTTATTTCATGACAAAATTCTTAAAAGCTTGGAAGTTATTGACTGTTCCACTATTGGGACAGAATCAAAAAGTGCGTCCCAGCATTGGTACTTTTACCTTAAGTAAAAAGACCACTTGTATATAATAAATTTTTCTCACCATTAGGAAGCAAAGTCTGCCTATTGGGCACAATGTAAGTACGACTTTACACCCTACGAAAAGGAAAGCGATATACAAAAATTTCGCGATTGTGACGAGATTTTTTTACTTAAACTATTTTTCAAGATTTCATAATAATGTTTCAAATAAAACTAGAGATGAAAATTAAAAACATACCATTGCTACCAAGTATGACAAGACATACTGCCAAAACGATAGGAAGATTAGTCCACATCATTGTTTGTCACTTGGAGTGAGATCCTCTGACTACACGATGGTGACGAAAAATTTAGCTTTATAAGCAAAACCAAGTGGTTATTTTTCCGACACGAATTTGATGGATGTACGTGTTGATCAGCTTCATTGGTATCTGTTGTTATGAATAGAATATACGTTTTGGGAATTTTAATGGAAGATACAATTGTCATAATACTGTACAAACAACTTTACTTCACGGAAAACTTACATAACAGTATAGCTGAGTCGGAAGAACTGATACAAAATATGATATTTGCTTAAAGTTAGTCTCACTTCAGTGGCAAAAACATTAGAAAGATCTGGCAGAATGTCCCAGTTTAACTGTGAAAACTTGCCCTTGTCATCCTTATATTTACTTTGCAGAAAAATAACTTTTATTATTTTGACGATGAGTTATGACGAAGGTGGTTCTACTATTAAACTAATATATTCATCGTTCAAATTACTTGTTTTCAAGTGTCAAAAAGTTTACGTATCGTTACATATATGCATTAAAAATTTGGAGGAAAATGCTATTTTCATTAAAGGTATTCATATGTAGTGAGTAAATATGACGTAGCTAGTACAATAAATATTAAAAAATCCACTTTAACAATTCGATAAATTTCAAGCTTCCCAAATGTCCCGACTTCCACGTGTATAGGTTTTCAACCATGGTCTAATAAATACACAATACTCATAAATACCCTGTTATTTTCGTTAAGTTATTTTTCAACCCTTATTTATTGCTGCATCAAATTTATTGTAAATCAGTTCAATTTAATGATATAATATTTCGTTTTCTTGCTGTTTATCGCTTTTCTTCTTAACATGTATATTAAATATTTCAAAATCATATAGAATTTTTTCTTACCAATAAGCAAACAAATTTTCGTAGGAATATTACGTCAGAATTTAGGAATTGAATGACTAAAGTTTTCCACTATTTTTCGTCGTTCATTCTTATTGTTCCAGTAAATTAATTAGCTCGTAATGGTCATTTCGATTCTTTTATCATTAAGCAGAGCAATGTACAATTAATACTATTTGTGTTGTCTACAAAATAACATGATAAAATTTAATTTTTCTGTCCATCTAAATCTATAAGTTTCAAATACTTATTATTTATCTTGTGATTGTATTGAATTACGCGTCCCATATTTTCAAATAAGTTTACGAACATATATGTACGTACTAGTAACGTACATATATATTATGTTTATATTTAAAAATCTTGTTTTTAGTAACGCAAAAACGTGTTATTTATTTAAGTTATTCATGCTTCATTAGTTAATTATCACAATATTTACACTACAAGGTCGAGTATGCTGTGCAGTCTCAACAATAATGTTAAAATTAATAGTTACAGTATTTAGTAATTCTTCATTTTTTTTTTTTTTCCATAAAAGTAAAAAATGTTTATGATCATATTTTTTGTAATCGAACCTAATTTGTAACAGAAAAAATACTCTTGTATGCTATTTTCCATTAAAATTTGATGCAAACGATTTCTGTTCTACAACATTAATTTAAAAAGTTTATAGTTACTTGAATCAAATTTTTAGCAAAATACAATATTGATAAGGTTTTTTAAATAAATTATTTTACATTACTGTGCAATATTTTAGATAAAGTAATTTCATACAACTACGACAACGAGTCATTTGAAAACTGTTTGTAAATATGTATTATCTCCGTGTTTGCACTGACATAATTCGGATATCGGTAGAAGAAGCGTTTATTTGTCTGTTTTCGGAGAATCAATTTAAGTAATAAGTTTTTTTTTTTTGTTTTTTTTTTTCTCTATAAAAAATACTCATATTTTTGAACTTTTTGCTTCGATTGATTATTGCCTCCACTAATCATCAAATTTTGAATCACCTAAAAATTGTTTCACCTTCGGCTAATTATGTTTTCTGTTAATCTACTACGGCAATAAATTTTTTTGGTAATTTAACCATTCGACAAATTTTATTTCGGTTAAATTAATATGAACCCCTCACATGATCCTATATCATCGGCGCGAAATAAATATGTATATACAGTGCACTGCAGTACTGCATACAGCAGTACGTATTATAGTACATACTCCAATAACCCACTCGCGTCTACTTCATTCAGTCGGCAAAACATGTCTTCTCAGATGAGAAACGATACTTCGAATTTTTTACACAAAATTTACGCAAATGATCCCGTTCTGTTCAAAAATTACGTTAACAAACGCCTAAGTATCACAACAATCGATGGACGTGTGCACACTGGTATTGTTTACACAGTGGATCCTGCATCCGAGAGGTTAGAATTTTTTTTTTTTATAAAAATTTATTTCTTACTTGTGCATAACTGTACTTTATTATTTATCGTTTCAATTGTTGAATTAGCATTGTCATCATGGAACCTTTAGAGGGTGAGAAAACAATGAATATAAAAATCATCATGAGGCTAGCTGTCAAATCCGTGGAGTGTTCTCACGACACTGAACTTGTGTTGCCGGAAATTTTTTCTCCGAGAAAAAACTGATAAGTAATTAAGTTTGTGGCAAGAAATACTTAAAATTACAATCACCAAATAAAAGGCTGTGCTGTTAATGAAGGACACCATAGAATCATTGGTTTGTTTCATTCAACTTCAGTATTTAACACAGGATGCAAAGACTTCTTCCCAGCATTTCAATGTAAGGAATTTTTAGGATGAGTTGAAATGTACTACTACTACTAATAATAATAATAATCATAATAACATACACTAGTGATAATTCAATATTAATATATTTCACACAAGAATTTTGTTCGAACAATTATTACAAAAATCAACCTACGTGTATGTACTGGTATAGGGTGTAATTAAAAGATATTTTCGCAATACGTGAGTTGATACTAGCAAAGGCTTGTGTGAAATAACTTTTCTTTCCTTTTATTTGAAATTATTGCATAATGACTTGTGCGCATACAGTAGATTGATGAATTAGGGTATGAGCTATGCATATTCTAATTTATGTAAACTAGTTCTCTATCCTTTTTACAAAATATAAGTATTATTAAACATTTGTTCCTATTTCGAACACATGATAATAAAAAAAATATGAAACAATCGTTAAGTTTCTATAGAGATTTAAGTTCCCCCCCTCTATCATTCTAAGAACTTTATTGATTTGCTGATACAGGAAATCATCTTACTTTTTAATTACTGCGCGATGTGTAATTAAACAGATTATCAGTGCTCGTTTTGCTGCATTACATTGTATTTATTGCATGGTAGAAACAAATTTCAATTGTTATCTTTGTTTCACAGTAGGTGTCTATATCCTAAAAAAGTGTATATTCGTTTGAATGGTGTATACTATGTAGACCAAAGAGTCCAGATGCGAAGAATTATTATCAAATTGGTCTATCTATCACGAACTGTATGTCAAACAGTTGCACTACCATGAATTATTGTTATTACCCTCAACTTCATGCAAAAAATCTCGAATCCACGCGCTAATTCTAGGTACGACTCAATGCGTACACCAGGCATGAACATTTTCAGTATGTAATTGTCATTGACAAAAAATGCTAATCTCTGTGATCCTCCTTCATTGTAAGATAGGTCATTCTGTCTCGCTATCTGAGTAATACTCTATCGAGTCGGGATCACGTAGCTTTTTAGAGTATTTCAATCCAAGCACGTTGGAAATGTCCTCAATGTTATTCAATACCTGTAACAGATTGAACCAAAATTTTTATCCAATTTTTACAAGTATTAAGTAAAGATTTGAGCATTGAAATTTGATTTACATAATCAAGCTGCTCTTTGGTATGAGCTGCTGACAAGCAGAATCGTATTCTTCCTTCCATTAGTGGCGTGGCAGGAAAACCGACCCCTACTGTGGCTATATTCCGTGTTGTCAGGATTCGTACCACAGAACTACACATACGAGAAAGCGCAATGTATTGACATCACTTGTTTTTCATGTTTGCTATGTACGTAAAAAAAATTTTTTAATTTCAACTCCGTCAACTCACCCGATTTTTGAGTACAGGTACACAAGCATCGGCACAATGGGAGAATCGTTGTTTCCATAAATAATCACACCGATCTGATTCAACCGACGTCGGAAATACCTCGTATTTCTCGCCAGCTGCTTTATTTTTTTCTTGCCGGCATCTGTGCCATCCTCACCGGCAATTATCTTCATCGACGTGATAATTTGTTGAGCAATCGGAGGTGCCATAGCTACCGCATAAGTGTGCGCGTGGCTGTGTATTCTCAAGTGATTGATCAACACCTACGGTCAAATATTACCGGTGTAAGTGGGTTAAAAAATAATTGTACCACAAACGGAATGTAGTAACGTTCGAAAGCGTGTACCTTCGTTCCTGCTATGTAACCGCCAGCTGATCCAAAACTCTTGGTAAATGTGCCCATGAGAATGTCAACTTCTTTGGGATCGACGCCGTAATAGTCGCACACTCCTCGTCCACGCTTTCCCATTGCCCCGGTACTGTGTGCCTCATCCAAATAGATGTACGCCTGCACGTAGGAATAAAAAATTTTCCTCAATGGCAATTTAGACTCAAAATTGTCTGCACCGTTCAAACAAAACGTGTACCTTGTACTTTTTCTTTAGCCTGAGCATCTCGGGGAGACGAACGATGGTACCCTCCATCGAGTAAATACCTTCGACAACTATGACAATTTTTTTCCACGACTCCCCGGTCCCCGGCTGTCCGCTCGAAATGGCTCTCTTCAGGCACTCTTCCAAATGCTTGACATCTGTAATTAATAACCATTACAAAAACGAGTTCGGCTGAAGGAAAAAAAAAATTTCCTCCACTCACCGTTGTGCTTGAAAACCCGAGTCGTGGCGCCCGAAAGTCGCAAGCCCAGAATGAGGGAGGCGTGATTTTTCTCGTCACTCAAAACGAGACAACCCCGGGATATCAAGGATGGCAGGTTCAAGGCGTTCGTGGCAAAGCCCATGCCGAAAACTATGGCATCCTCGACCCCCAAAAATCTCGCCGTGAGTTTTTCCAGCTCATCATGTATCGGCATGCTTCCTGCAAGAAAAATCAAATTGAGCGACAGTTCACGCCCACGTGATTGTTTTTTTTCGCCGGTGTACTTCATATCTGCCAATGAGAAGGGATTTTCCCAGACCTTCTACCTAATTCTAGTCTGCTGCTGCAACCAGCGCAGCCGTACTGTTTTAATGCGTTTATGCTCTCTTGGGCGCACAGCCCCGACGACTCGGCGAATCCAAGGTAGTTGTACGAACCGAGATTTATGCACTCGGTCTTGGTGCCCGTGAATCTACAAGCGTTGAAAAAAATATTTTACACGTCAATCAATCATGTAGATGGAAAAAAAATCGACTCCGTGCAACAGTATAGGATAATCGGTATGTGTGTATATATATATATAATACCTACTTAAACGTCCACCCGTGGTCGGGGGTTACGCGATCTTTCAGGGTTACAGTTGCCCCGGGCACCGAACAAATTGGCCTGTTCCAGCAGTCTTTTATTCGCCTGTAGACGTAGTTCAGGTAAAACTTTTCGAAATTCTCGTAAAGCGGCGCATACCCCTGTAAAAAAAAAAAATAAATAAAAAAAAGAATCAGTTGGTAAATTTTCAGCTCGACGATGATACGTAACAATATACTTGTAGCAAATATTGTGTACCTTTCTATTTTGCTCTTTGGCTACGTTTGGCGTAAAAAGTAATTGGTTTACAAATCCTAAGAACATGAGTACGTAAAAGCCAAAGTGAGTGAGGGCAGCCGTGATGAAGGGAACTTTTTCGTAGAGCTCTTTGTACTGTGGCGACTTTAATGTGCAATTCCTCGCTCCCTCGTCCCTCGTTTTTTCCCTCTCGTCGTAGTACTGAAATTACGTAAAAGGAAAAAAAATTATTAATTTTTCAAAGAGAAAAAAAAAAAAAAGTACTGCATTGTGCATCACACATCTATAGGTAATATATATGCCGCTGCGACAAAATTCTCCTCGATCGTACAGCATTGTAAATATATAGGTGCATTACATCCGCAGTAAAATAGCGACTTTCGTACTATTTCTTGCCTATATTTATAAGTATACCCATTTGAGAAAGAAAAAAAAAAAATATATATATATACCTATGGACACGACTGACGAAATAAAATACCACAGCTATAGCTCATTAATGCTCAATCGGAGAAAGAGAGAAATTAAAATTAGCCCAAAGAGTCATCGTCATTTCCCTACAATGGCCACACGAAATCGATACCGGGCTAGTATAGAGATAAATATATCATATTATGCATTTGCGGTTTATTTTGATTCGAAAAGTATTACATTTGAAAATCTCACGTAAGTATTATATGTGCGACAAAAGCTTTGTTTTTCAAACGTGTCAATGCGAAGCGAGACCGCGTGTTTGAATATCTCGGTTAGTCGGTTAGCGCGGAGGGATCGTTAAGTGCTGCATCAGGTGCAGCCGCGGCGAGCGTGTCGTGAGGAAAAACGAGAAAACGTTCAAGGAAGTCTGCGGTATCTATACGTACCCAAGTGTCATATAGGGCGCTTGCGCGAATATTCGTTATCTCTCTGCAGTGCAGGTGCACTACGGCTGCTACTTTATACATATATGTATACACGTCTGCTTCGATCGTTCGGGAAATCGGGGTGTACGTCGAAAATGCGACTCGCAGATTTTTTCTCGGACACTTTTACGAGAAAATCATATATATTAACGTATATGATGCAGACTTTTTTTTTAGATATAATTTTATGCCAAGAGCACTGTTTGTGCGGACAAATTTCCATTGCTATACTTGAAATAGTGTTTAAGAGTTATCTTTTTCCAGAAAAAAAAAAAAAAAATTTAGAACAAAATATGTAGTCAAAGTATTTGTAAATAAACGTTTGATTTAATAGTAGTTTTCGTCGGATAAGTGTCATCGTCTCCGGGGCTATTTTGCGGCTCGAGGGACATAGCCGCGCTGCGATGGCGCTTATGAAGCGAATCCTATTTATCCTATACCGAGAACACACCAACGTCTCAAAACACCCGAGGTAGGAAAATGAGCTTTACAATAAACTTTACTGTATAAAATGTATTGCATTCATCTGCCAGATAATAAATTTTCCTCGTTATTGTGTTGTGAATAGTGATGAATGTACAATTTTTTTCAGCAAAATGGCATATTGAGGAACAAAAAAAAAAGAATTCTTTTTGACGAGTTTAAAAATTTATATAATAATTGTGCACAAGTCTACTTGTGGTGCATCGATTAAATCTCTTAAACGAGTTTGATGTCCAAATAAGGATATACGAAAAGAACGGAGCTAAGCTAAGTGAAATTATAACTAATAGTCTTGAATACAGTTACTCTTCACATTTACGTTTTTTATGCAATTCTGTGATAAATTAACCGAGTCTGCAGTAAAAACCCGCTTTTGGCAAATAATTCCCCGTGTACACACAATCGACAATCTTTGCTAAGAAGATAATTTTCGTAAGACTAGTGTGGCATTATTTTAGAAGAATTTCTATGAGAAACGTAATAAGCTTACGCAAAAGGGGCCATGACCGTGATGCTAATTTAAAAAAATCAACGTTACCCAAAGTTGGAAAAAAAAAAATTGGACCAATCGCTTACATAAACTTAATACTATTTTTTCGCTAAAAACATCAATGTAGACAACTGGTGGATAGAATAAAAGTTTCATGTAAAAAAATTATGTAGAGCACTAAAACATTCGCAGTGTAGTTAATTTGTTGTTGTGTAATGTACGTGGCGTTGCTCCCACGTGCAACCGAGCACCAAACAAACCATTGAAAAGCAGAGAATCCGATGTATTGAAAAAAAAAAAAAAAAAAAAAAGTGTCTATTTAACGTTTCCGTATATCCGTAAAAAACGAGTTTTCCACGTGAATTTTCATCCATCCTGCGCCTCGAACCAAGAAAACCAGATGTCACAGCTCACATCGGACTGAGTACTATATAAATGTATATGAAAGCAATAAAATTCTGACCTTAGCATTTGAGAATGATCGTCAACAGATAAACAGGCCCATTTGCTTGACCCACCTACAGGTACACGATAGACGAACTACATAGATAGATAGAGAGAGAGAGAGAGAGAGGAAGAATAAAAGGGAGAGGTATCGTACGATATTCCCATCCGCTGGAATGCCCATCTCAAAGTGAAAAGGAATAGCCTATGCTACAGAGAGAAGCTGCTCAAGTACACAAGTGAAAAGACTCATCTCGAGCAGCATCGATCCACTTTTATTTGTGAGTAAAGTAGTCACAAACACATAAACAAGCGCAAACTGCATCCGTTCCTTGGAACGCGGGAAATACTCCGATGATATAATCACGCAACAATTTATATCTCGTCTGATATATGTATACGCCCAACCATCCCCCGGATAACATATGCACATCACGAATTCGCGGTGGCAGAAAGGAAGGTGGTTGTTGACGCGTGGGGGCGCGCTCAGTGAGCACGTGTGCATGCGCTACTTAGCGTATATATTATTATATTATATCAGCGGCGCCGCGCAAAATCACAACATACGTAGATATACGCAGGGGGGTATGCTTGGCTGCAAATTACGCCGCGCCAAATAGGTGGACTATGTTTTGGTGTACCTATAATATGACGTGTGTGAGCCCCCGATATGTGTGCATGTGTATAAACGATTCACGCGGGCACGCGAGGTATACGAAGGGGGCATCAATTAAGTGGAAAAACGGAGCGGAGCTACGTGTTAAGTATTCGAGTGCGGGCAATCACGGCACCAGCATCAGATTTTCGAAAATCAATAACATTGCATACACAGGCACAACAGAGGGTTGCAGTACCTACGGGGGTACTTGTACAAAAAAATTAACGTGTAGTGAAATTTTACTCACGGCAGGCCTGGGGTGTCCGTTGAGGGGTCCCGCGTAGCCATTGAGCCGACGCGTGCTCTGTTGGCTCGGGTGCTCGAGGGTCGTGCCGGTGGTCGTCGTCATCGTCGCCGAGGCCATGCCGACCGCGCCACTCCGGTGGTCACCCTCTTTGGCACCGCAGCAGCTCACCGTCACCCCCTGGCGTCTTTACCGGCTCCTCGTTTTTATTGATACCTGTCTCTGTACCCGCGCGGGTGGCTCAACGAAGGGGCCAACTTGTCCCGCGAGAAAATTTTTTCAGCCCAAGTCGTTGGCTCGCGCTTTCTTCCACTGCACCGTCGGCGCGCAGACTGGCTCCTCGAGGCGCGCGCTCTCGCGTATTGTATATAGTAAAATTCTCTGCAGCTACACCTATACACAAGTAAGTCTAGACCTCGTGTGTTGTTCACTCGAAAGCAGCTGCTGGCAGTGCTGGAAGACGCGGGTTGAGAGGGGTCTCCGCGGGAGCGCGCGCAATCGAAAGACCATCGAAATATATTATATTGTATAGGATATATGTTATGGCTTTAACTATTTATAATAAATAAAATAATAACGCAACCGCCAATCCCCACACAACCCGGGGCACTTACTGGCAGCTTTAATTATTTATGATTAATAAAATAATAACTACAATAGGTAAAGTAACGGAAAGTGTCGATAACGGTGGGGGTATGCGAGTAAGATCCCCTTTGCCAACACTGGCACTCAAGGGCCCGACACTCGACTATATATAAGTACCCGAGTGTACAAACCACCACCACCACCTACCAACCGTCCACCCCTTGCGCCATCTGTGGCTGCTACGCGTGTTTTATTTTTACGACGTGGCTGTATATTTATATTACACCCCCTCGCGAGGGTGTGCCACCTTCTCGCGCTCCTTTTCCACTGCAGGCCTACTGTGTAAAATATATTACATGCAGCTAAATGCCGTTTCTACGGTCTTGCCCGGGAGTTGCAAGCACAACACTGTAAAGGTGGTGGTTATAAGTATATCTATGGTTGGAAAGGAAGTTGTTGATGATGAACAAGGGTGTGCGAAAACATTTTTTATCCTATATATATATATATATGCTCTGCCAGTGGAGATTGTAGACTATTTTCTTGAAAAATATTATGTATATTCGTGCCCCGGAGCAGTAATCAATTAATATTCCTGAGCATTTCAGTCCCAAAGGTTTTAATTACCGTCGTGCGTTGTAGGTACGCCGAGAAATTTCGTCGTGTCGAATTTTCGTCACAATTATTACTAAACGTGACAAGCATTGTGTAAAACTGCGAAACGTCCTTCGTTTTTTAGCGTTTTTTTAAAAGGTCGACACATTGATAACAAGCCTTAAAAATTAATTGGTGCCTTGCTGGTGCACACATACAGTTTAAAGAATAACCAGTTAATTGGTGAATTTTTTTTTTTTTTTTTTTTTCGTAAAAGTTACTGCCTCCTGATGGTGATCGTTAAACGATATTATTAATTGACATCGTATCGCGATGATATTGTAAATTTTCTAATCCGCTGCACGAATATTCGTCCTTACGGTGTTTGTTATATATTACTCGACGTAGTTGACAAACGCTTGAGCATTAGTCGCTTGTTCTCGCCCAACAAAATCTCCAGACAGCGTTCGGGCATTTTGACACATCGTCGTAATTATAACACCTTCAATATACATTTATATGCCTGTTGCACATTGCACATCGTACGTGTGGCTCACGTAAAAGTTGTATAGGTTTACGATGAAGTTGTGAGACACCTTATTTCTTTTATCTAGTTCATTTTCGTGGTACTTTTACCTGTTGATAAAACTTACCTAATGCCGTATGCAATTTTTTACGGCTAATCTGCAACTCAAAGATTCATAGTACGCAGAACTGACTGCATGTACTATTTTTCCGTATTAAACCGAGAGATAAAAAAAAAACAGTCACGACGAGAACACGTGCATTGACTCATTTGATGGTGTTGTTTTTTCACCGTCATTGCGAAAACAATAAAATACGTGTGTTCGAGCAATGTGCAGTCAACGGCTTTTTTAAGCCTCTGACGTCAACGTGTATTTTTTAAAAGGGGTAAAAATCACCGCGGATATACGCAGTACCGTTAAAATATCGAATAGGTTTTTGCCCGCTAATGAAAATTTTTTAGTGATATCACAGATGTATTGTTTGGTTTCGTAGATTTATTTATTTTTAGTCGAACAATTGTGCTTTGAAACTGCAAAATTCGAACCATATACGGAAGTTTTTTAATTTAAAAATTTTTCATTTATCATTAAAACTGAAATTAAATTGGTCACTGGTTAGGATCGCGCCCAGTTTCCTGCATTTGTATCGAGCACCGACTGATATTGCAGTCTTTGTACTTTTAATGTACAAAAACTCATACAAATGATAATAAAAGAAACCGTTTATTTAAATTGGGAAATATAAAAAAAAAAAAAAAAAACCCATTTGGATGTATATTGTACAAAATAAAGTAATAATTAGTATTTTGAACTTTTGAAAATATGATTTGATAATTAATGTAAATGATATTACGATAAAACAAATTTTAGTTACAACAGAAAATAATAATCTTAAGGGTATGATTGTACAAAATATGCGTTCAATTTTACTGACTATGAGTGCACGTGCACCGAGCGCATTGGTAACCGGATCCACCTTCGTTCATCGACGTCGAGTGATGTTTATCGATCCAGCCGTCCTTAGTACTCCTTATCACTGCTACGGTTACAAAAAAAAGTATAGGTTCGGAAAAATCTTTGGAATCTCGCAGTAGTCGCACAACTTTATCCGCAAAACTATACTCGTAAAAGGCGAGTTTTGTGGAGTGCTATAGTAAATATATTACGTGTACATAGATATAGCGTCGAATAGAAAAATCGGATCGTAGCTCTTATCGCCGACATCTGTTAGCTATTGCGCGATTTGATCTTGAGCTCTTCGGTTACAACGTATATATAAATTATGTTTCATTGAGCGGTGAAGTGGCCGTTACAATGGGCTCTTGTATAAATTGTAGTCATTTAACATTGTAATTTTACATTGTATTTTAATTTTTCTAAATTGAATGTTTATTCAAAGTATCGGGTTTGGTTTCGTGTGTGGTGTGTGACCCAGATGTGGAAAACTTATTTACGAAAAGTAACGTATTTTTCCAACCATAAATGAGACTTACACCTCCTATACTCAACCATAATTTTTAACTCATACCTTAATTTTTTCAACTTTGTATTCGACAAAAAAATCTGGCTATTTCTGCTGCGCTTAGTACTTTAGTGCCATTTGAGTCAAAAATGTTGAGCCGTTAAGCTGCTTCAGCAGTTTAAGGCTTGGTAAATCATAAGAATTGTAATATACGGAAGAGAATCTCAGAATTATTTTTTTATCAATAAATGAATTCTTAAAATATGTTATCCAGAAATTGAAAGTCTACATGTTATAAAAATATTATTTTAAGAACCTCTAAGAAAAGCGTGTGTGTATGTTACAGCTGTAAAAAAAAAAAATTTATTAAAAAAACCAACAAATTTTAAAAATGCCATTTACAGAGAAACTGAAAAGTTTGAAACGAAATCGTTTTTCAAAAAAATTTTTATGATTTTAAAAAAGAATTTTATTTTTTCATAAACACAATACTATAATAAAAACAACTAATTCGGAGAAATATTTTTCGAGTTACAAGAAAGATGAGAACGTGGCTCAACAAAGGGAGCTCACGATTCCGATCGAATTTTGAAATCTTCATAAATATTTCGGCTATTATAAACTCCGAAAACTTTCCAGAAACACGCATCATTGATTACAATAGGATTTTTTTGCTTTTACGTAAGAAAAAAGACTGCCTAATGTAATTGAAACGCTTTTGGATTTGTATTTTTTTTTTTTTTTTTTTTCTACCATTTCAAAACATTTGTATATAGTCCAAGCTAATACTGCATGCTTTGAAATGCCTGACCAAACGACTATTGACATTTTACAGACAAGTCTAGTTTAAACTATATTGTAAAACAAATTTTTTTTATTAAAAACTGACTGGGTTACCATATAAATGTGTATTCTAAAACAATTCTTTGAAATCAGACAAAAAATTAAAATCCATCAATATATACTGGAGCTAAGATATCGGGCATCGATATACACGCACACAGCAATACCGATCGCGTCGAATTAACTTTTCGAATGTGAAATGTCGCGGCAGTAGATATGCTCGTTTGAAACCCGAAAATTTTTGTTGTGACCCGTGGAAACCTTTTTCTTTTTTTAACATTAGTAGGTACTTGGTTAAAAAACATCATTTGAACTCACAAATTCAAAGTCGTCTCAATTAAAGTTGAATGTTATTGCATTAAAGTAAACAAGTCAAGACGATTCAGCTATAAATTAATGTTCCTGTCACGGTATTATTTGCAATTTAAAAATGAATGAAGCTTTTCTTAAAAACAAACATTACGATGAAAAATCTGAAAATTCTTTTGACCACCGTAAACAACTATTTAAAATATTCCTCCCCTTTAATCGAATGGTGCCTTTTAAGTAACGTCGTGAATTTAAAACCATTTGTTTCAGACCAAAACCAGCGAGAAGAAACTAAAAATTGAAATCTCCCATCCGAGGGCGCAGACTCTGCTCCATCACGACGTTCGAGAGCTGTACACACTCCTGTACTGTGAAATGGTCGAGGATAAAAGGGTCGCGCAACCGGAGCATGCGTCCGTGTGCGAAAAAGAGCAACAACACTCGGCAGCTTCCAGGCAGTCCAGACTCCAAAATCCAGCGCATAGGGAGGGAGCTCCGTTGCTCCTCGTTATCTCTCATCTCCGCGAATACGTCAATACACCTGCAATGTATATTTAATACATCCGCAAGTTGAGAAGGAGCCACACGGAGTACACATATATATCTACGAAACAGTACATCGCAACGACGGACTCTGTTTTCTTCCCTTCCTCGCTCGTTTTTCGGCATCGCGCATCACCGGGAAAAAACTGCAGACGGTAGCGAGACAACCTCCCGGTATACAGGTAGAGAGAGAGAGAGTCCCTTCTCCAGCGCAAGGACGCAGTGTGGATAGCGGTATTTACCAACAAAGACACCGGACAGACAGACCGGGTGGTTGCTGTTCCAGTAAATAACTCAAGTGCATCGTCAGAGAAGGTGCAGCCTTCCAGTGGTTTCCAGTTGGTGTTTTAAGTAGTAATAGTGCACGAGTGGATAAGAGACAAGAAGGAAACAACCCTTGCTCCCTCAGCTCTTGGGGGGTGAGCGAGCCAGCGCAGTGGTACTTACATATAGACATATACACGGTACGTGGTGTTGCTCGCAATTCGGAGTTACGCCGTGAGACGTAAAAAAGACAACACATCCGAAAGCCGCCGCCGTCCGAGCGCGACTCCTTTTTTTTTTTTCGATCAAAGCCGACTCTCGCGCTCCGGCTTTTCTACACACCTATAACACGCCAGTCAGTGAGTCAGCTGTGAGTGCGCCGCCAACGCGTTAGCAACAGTAGCTGCACCAGTGTCAGTGTAATACAGTCCATCTACGCGCGAGGAGGGTCTTCCGCTGGAGCTTCCGGCCACCTTGTCCGTAAATTTTACAGAAAGCAAAGTGCGCGCAGAATCATCGTACTTCCTATAATATCATACATATAGATGTGTCAACAAATATAATCATCCGTGTGCCGCTTATGCTGCTGCCTGACAACTCTCGTCTGCTTCCTGTATACATACAAAACTTTGCGCTGTGATATCATCGTCGTGTGTGGTGTACATATTTTATACACATGTGATACGTGCTTTTGGAGTCCCGGCTGAGAGCAGGAAAGTTTTTATTTACCGTTTATTTTTAAACTTGTACACACAACGACGCATACCGTCTCGAAACTCTGTTTTTTTTTTGTTTTTTTTTTATCCATTTAACTCTTCCGACTTTTGCTACTCCGCCACCGGAGCGCTTTTTTCCCGTAAGTACTCCGGCTTTTTACCGCGGCACAAAGACACAATAGTCCAAACGTGTAGTGTCGTCCCGTGCTTTTTTCATCTCGTCCGCATCTACTCGCTTACACGGAATTTCGAACTATTTACAAAGTGCGCCGGCCAAAGTTTTGATTTAGCCGTGCTGCTCGCCGTATTTACACGCGCGCCCGAAAACACACTCGTCCAAGAAGAAAGAAAGTAAAGAATCCGTCTGCGCGGAAACAAAGCATCCCACCGAGACTCGTCTCCTCCCCGGGAATCTCGCCGCGCGTTCGAGGAATTGAACTCCCGGTGCAAAAAGAAAAGCGAATAGGTGCCCAAAAAAAAAAAAAACAACAACAAGGAATCCAGCAACATCAACGAGGGCTTTTAAATAGTAGCGCAAGTGTCGGGAACCCGGACAGTCGGTGAGTGCTGGGGAAGCGGTAGCAACAGTGTAATAGATAACATAAACACACAGCGAGAGAATGTCTGACTTTCTGGAGCACCAGCAGAACATCAAGCTGCCCAAGCACGACTCGACCGACGATTTCGAGCATCTCGAGCACGAAGTGCACAACCACCACCACCAGCAGCAGCAGCAGCAGCATCACGAGCCCTTGCTCGACTTGTCGAATCCCCTGGCGTCGTCGCCTCTGATGCACCCGCACAACCTGCTCGACGGGCTGGCCTCGCGCGCCGACCTCCTCGACATGAGCGTGCCAACGAGCAACGGCGCCGAGGCCGACCTGCTGCCGGTACCCGCGACCCCACCACCCTCCGCGGACTCAGCCAAGTTCGAGCCCGGCGGCGCCCAGCAGGCCGAGCCCAACTCCTTCGAGCTCGAGGCCAGGATCCGCGAACAACTGCAGGACGCCAAGGCCGCGACCATGGCCTTCATGGAGTCGGAAAAGGCGCCGGCGCACCACTTCGACGACGACGACGACCTCCTCGGCGCGGGCAGGCCCGCCAGCGTGGACAGCGACGAGGACGAGGAGTCGGTCACCAGGAGCGAGCCCAGCGAGCCCATCCTCAAGAAGCCTTTGGCGATGCCGATCGAGCCGAGGGACGACGACTTCGAGGAGTTCGAGGAGAACGGCGATGAGCTCGTGCAGGACGTGAGGTCGTCGACCCTGCCCGAGCCGGAAAAGTCGCCCGAGCTGGACTTTGTCAGGGACGAGATAGTGGTGCGCGAGGCCACCAGAGAGATCCAGAGGAAGCCCGAGGAGGACGACCTCTGGGACGTGCTGGAGAAGCCGGCGGTCAGGCTCGTGGAGGACGAGCCGCCTACGAAGCCCCTGCCGCCGTTGCCCAAGGGTGCCCTTGTCGACCAGGACGAGGACGAGTTGTTCTCTGGTGGGGACGGCTACGCGGACAAGTACGGGCGGACGGGCGAGTTTCTCGCCGCGGAGTCCAAGCAGCAGTTCAGCGGTGGGGAGACGGACGAGTTCGAGTCCGAACCCGAGCCCTCGCCGGCCAAGCTGGCGACCGGGGCTGTGGCTGTGAGACCCGAGTTGGGCGACGCGGCCGAGAGGAAGGTCTACTGCGCCAAGCCCGGAAACAAGGCTGGTCTATCGGCCAGTGCGATCTTCAGTGACATCGGCATCGGTGAGTTTGTGTTGTGCTCCGCTTGTTTTTTTTGTTTTTGTTTTTTTTTTTTTTTTTTATATTTACACTTGGGGGAAAAAAGTACGATGCTACGTCAGTGCAGTAGAATAGGTATGCGTTGTTTTTGGTGCTGTTTATCACGTTCCGATGGCATTTACACTGCACGCACAGACACGGGCATCGTTCATAATTTCATTCATGATATTCGCGGCTGAATTTACACGCGGCTTACTTCTAACTTATTCCAAAACTTTTCTACCTTTGCTCCGTCGTGGGCAATTCGTTTGGAATGAATTCATGTAAATTTCGGGATATTTCGTGCTAATCGTTTGATTATACCTTTTGCACGCTTTGTCGCGCACCCCTGGTTATAACTGGACATTGCGTAATCGATAAATTAATATTACATCCATGACGCAAAGGTAAATTACGAAAAACAAAGTGAGTGAGTTAGTTTGTAAACATTTATTTTTGTACATGACAAAAGTACTAACAATAACAACCGCACGTGCATGATAAAAACTCACACGTTAACGACATTACTTGTACCGTATAATTTTATGTTTAGCACGTGTTTGCTCATTGTTTACTCTATAGTCTCTTTCATTCACACGCTGATAACATTGACAAAAAAATGAACATACATACTTATCTAATCCCTACAAGTTCCTTCAAAAGAAGATAAAATATGTTTGCTTGGATAATTGAAATTTCACTTACAGATGTACAAAAAAGAAAACTTTTCCCACCACTTGACGAATCGCGTGTATGCGTTATCCTTCTTTCCCAAATGTATAGGTATATCTAAAATCCTTGCCACGCGTCACAGTCTCATTTTATGTAAATTATACAGGTAGTCTCCCTCTCGAAATTTTTCCGATTGAACGTACAAGAGGCGAGGAGGACGCGGAAGTCCATCGCACCCGCGCTGATCATGTATATATATATACATACAGTGTATTAGGTATTTTGCACGCGAGCGAACTACTTAGGTATTATATATATATATACCCATGCAGCTGTCGATAGCGCGCCAATGATTTTCGACCTCGTAAGGCTTTCGCGTGTCTGACGATCGGAGTACCCGGTACAAGTGGAGTAAGAGGAACCGAGACAAAGTAACAAACCCTCGCGTTTTTCCGCGCTTCTTGCGCTGCACGACTTGAAAATCTACATATTGTTACCCACACACGTTCTCTCGTGGCGCGCAAATGCGGGGAGATGCTGGCCTGCTTCCCGCTCTGATTTTCCATTGGCCCCCATTTGATTCTTCTCCCGTTGCTGCTTTTTTTTCCTGGTATAACAAAGTTTGCGTGATTTCTCTTTGCGGCCGGGTCTTTCAGGGCACTGCGTTTCACGCCTCAATGACTTTGTATTTTTAAACCAAAGGACTCGACCGTATGATGCCCTTTTTTTTTTTTTTTTAAGTTTCGAGTGCGCGATCGAATGAGCGTATTTATAGTATATAGGTACCCACATGGGAAATCGTCCGAAGATACAAAGTGGAGGTAATTGGGTTCGGGAAACGCGAAAACTCGCTATGCAATGCGCATCTGTAAGGTGTACGCCCGTGAGTCACACACGCGTGACAAGGATTCATTAGACCAGTGGTGCAATTATATTAATTTGGAAACTAAGTTTCACGTCTTGCTTCATTCGAGCGAGCGAATTCGCAGAATATACGCGTGGTGTTACACGGAACAACAGAATTTACGTGTGTCGCGTATGCGCGATTACACTGAAAATCATCAATTTTTTTTTTTTTCGCATGATTTTGTGACTTGTCTTATTTTTATTTTGTATTCCAAAAAATTATCGTTACCCTGAGTACCTGATGTGACACGCTTTTTTTCAAATTACGAAAAATTCGTTTACTCAGAAGAGGCTGTTGAAAAAAATTACATGATCAAAGATTATATCGTACTTTTTGAATATATGTATTTTTGTTAAAATTCATCAAATCCGATAAAATTGTACAAATGGCCTGCAACTTATGATCACAACATTATTTTTTGGCCATATGCCATTAACTATAAGCTTACGAATAAGATTTTTGAAAATGAAAAATAATAGTAGGTTAAAACATTATAGTCAGTTATTTATATTTTGGTAGATGTGATCAGCTTAAAGTTCCTGTAATTTTTTATTTAATATTATCGCCGTATTTACACGCGCGCCCGAAAACACACTCGTCCAAGAAGAAAGAAAGTAAAGAATCCGTCTGCGCGGAAACAAAGCATCCCACCGAGACTCGTCTCCTCCCCGGGAATCTCGCCGCGCGTTCGAGGAATTGAACTCCCGGTGCAAAAAGAAAAGNCATTTCATACAGTATATTATATTATACTTTTACAAATCTTGCTGTGGAATAGCGAGACCAAATTTTTAATTAACTTCAAAACAAACCCTCTTTCCAAATTTCAAAATATTCTCTAAAAAGTCCATCGTATCGGCTTTTTGTATTTACCGTGATTTTTGTAATAAATTGCGTTAAAGTACGATGATTAAAATAAATTAAGTTGTACGGATAAAAAATTGATTTTAATTCTTTCACTAGGGTATATTGCGTGATTTCTTGCAGAATTTCTTATGTATATGTGTCAAACAGTTGGTTAAGTGCGCCACGTATAGTTACGTACACGATATATATCTGTACGCGAATTGAAAGTTGGCAGGATGATTCATCGCCTAGGAAGTATAACGGTCACGTATACAACAACGCGGATTAAAATGTACAGGTATATAAAGTCTTTCAAATAATGTCTTCATTGTATCCTCCTTCGTGTTGGTACAATGAACTGTCTTCGCTCCCCTCGATCGTATACTTTCGTATTTTGAGTTGTTGCGTTATCCTTTCCAGTTCTGGTATACTTTATTGGATATTTCTGAAACGGTGCTTTATTGCAAAAGAAATAAATAAATTAAAAATTGACATCCAAAGTACTACAAAGATTTACTTGATAAACATAGATTCTTTATCGGAGTTGTATGCCATTCTTATTTGTTCTGAGCAAACATGTGACACGAGTCTTCTCCCACGCTTTATTTGACAAAGGAATACAATTAGCTCCTGGGATTTCAGAAAACTAGTTACTACTGTGTCTATATGTGTATACAATTGCTGACGTGACACTTCCTACACGTGCAGATCGAATAAAAAAATTAAAAAAAAAAAAAAATACACATCTGATCGTTTGAAAATCAATTATTGTCTTAATTACAGCAATTAAAATTAAAGTTAATCTATTATGACAAAAGTTTTTAAGTACGCGTGGAATTTTTAATAGCCGAAGCACTCCAATCTTATGATAATAATCATTTTACACTACTAATCCATTTGATTAAAAATTTCAAGTTTGTTTTACTAATTTCTTTCCCAACGTAATTACGGGATTCGTTATTCGCTTTTCAAATTGTGATTTTGAAAAATTTTGTAAAATTTCTTATTTCTTCTGTTAGGCGTTGGTTATTCAATTGACGTATTGAATTTTTGACAGCATTGATAACCCTATAGACGATGTGTATCACTGATAAACATATTTCGTTAATCTAATAAAACATTTTATCGCCTAGTGGTTGATGTGCAACGTTTTATCAAATTATTGATTCTATGAAATACATTAAAAGGTAACTCAACGCTTATACTTTTAAATTAAGATACGGACCTAATTGACAAACTTAGATTTTTTGACAGAAGACCAAGTGATGCTTCAAGTCGATGGATTATTTTCATTTTAGGTGCTGCGTCAATATCACAACAGCATATTCGTGCAACGAATTCATCTTCAGTTTTTAATTTTTTTTTCACTACCACCGACGATCCCTGTATTTATTGATTTATAAAACCATGTTGGTTTACACTCGAGTACATATTCCGTTTTTCCGAAATTTTCAACTTCGACGTATGCCAATTGTCATCTGATCGGTTCTCTGTACTTAAGATCTGACTATTCGAAGCACCGCAAGAGTTGTCGCTTTCTACACAAAAGTGCCTCCTTTCATATCGTATCTCAATCACAGTAAAGTGCTGGGCAGATTCCTCGCAACCCGTAAGAGTTATTTTTGTTTGGTTTTCCTTTTTTTATCAACGTTTTCTAAAAAAGGATAAAATTTTTGATTCATTTGTTCAGAATAACATATTTAAATACATTCAATCAAAAATAAACAGCAAATACAAAACTAGGTTTTTCAAAGATAAAAAGTGTTTGGTCTGGATAATGAAAGTAAAAATAGAAGCTTATTTTTTTACGCTTGTTTTCTTGCGGTATCGCGATCGCTCTACATATATACATGTATGTGTGTGCCGTAGTCTATTCATAGAGATTAAATCATTGCTATTGAGAAAGTTAAACGTGAGTCATGTGAAGAATCTAAAACATTTTCTTCGATACAATAAGACAGAAAGGATAACTTGCAGTTGATGAATAATTTTATTATAACAAAAATTTAAGACATTGACTTATTATACAAAAATACTTGTTAACACTTAAGTTGAGCCACTAATAATATTAATATTAATAAAGTGTATTTGATTATTCCACTGTTATTTTTCTACGTAATTTTATTTTTTCATATGTATCAAACGAGTATTTTTCCATTTTTTTAATTTACGATCATTAATACTTGCGGAGTACACTGTAAATGATGCTTTCTACTTGCGAAATATCCTGACATTTCAGAATGTAAATTACGTGTCAAAAACAATACAAACATAAAATAACCATGAGAAGCCAATTATAAATATTAATTTACTCATTGCAATGGGTTTAAAATTAAATCAACGACGATTCAATCATCCAACCTTCCATTTGGAAACGATTTCGATGGATCATGATTGTTTCCCATACGCCATTGTATTATCTATGTGTTGAAATTGATTTTAGGGAATATGTATACATAAATATTTTTTCTCCATAAAACTCAACTATCTCAAAAATCAGTATAAATATACAACGTTCTAAAATTCATGTAAACACCTATAAGTAATGAGTTATTAATTTACA